CAGGCAATAAAACTCCAGCAGCCCATCAATCACCTGAGATCACTACAATCCCCAAGAAAAGAAACAACGTGTCCAACTGTTGGTCCAACTGCCCCCTAAACACAAGTATCTACTGCCATAGCTCAAGCAAAGGGACGACCAGGCTCAACTTCAGTTCTGGGCGAGCCATACCATGAAAGAGCTTGGACTTGCTGATGTTCAATGGTACTTTAAATTTGGCACAGTCCATGCCATCGATCGTGAAACTCAGCCAAGTAGTGACCCCTTCATGTAGGAAGGTAATACCACTCTTCACACTGTCAAAGGCAATCTGGCGCCAAAACGCATCGGCCTTCCGGTCTTGAATCATCAAGTTCAAGTGTTGGCAATAGGCCTCGGCAATCATGTTGGAATCGCTCAGCGTTGACGCTTGGCGTTTGTGCTCTTTCATGTCTTCGCACACTCGGCACTTGCTGTGCTGAGATTCACCCCGGAAGCGAAGCGTCTTTTCCCAAGATCGATGGTAGATTCGCACCCAAGTCCGGTAGGATGGTGGCGGTTGCAAGTGCGACAGGAAGTTCTTGCTAACATCTAGCCTGACTGATCCAAAGGGCAGCTTCAGACCGTGAAGAAGTAGAAAAAATGTTCAGGGAGCATAGACAGAAGACCTAGCAGTAAAGACATGACCCAACCTGTTCAAATTTTAAACAAGACAGGACAAGCAGCAGCTCTGTCAATGTGACGTTCGGGTGCAGGTGCTTGGGCTCCAGCTGGGAAGTACTGAACACCTCTGAAAAAGGGTCCATCTTGAGAAGCTCCTTCACCTTTGCAGACACGTCAAACTTTTGCTTGCCCACACCCTCAGCAAGCGGCTCTGCCAAAAAGCTATGAACCCAGCACCACATAGTCTCAGCATGCTGGACTTGAATTGACACTGTCTTTGTCATCCTAACTTGACCACCTCCAAGTCGCAAGTCTCGCGATGCATTTGCTTGCCCATCCAAAATCTGCTGGGTCAGCGTGGTCACTCTGCCCTTGCTGCATTGCAGAAGCTCAGCAGCTGCCAAACGACAAATCAGAAGATCACCAAACTAAACTTGTATCGCCGATGGCAACTGGTTTTTTCTGAGTTGCCAGACTGCGTCCAATTCCTCAGCACTTGGAACTGGAACTCATTGCGCTTCTCCAACCCAGTCTCTTCTTTTATAGCTGGGCGTATCTCATCTGCTTTCAAAGTATAGTCAGGCATGCTGGCGATTCGATCCAAACAGTCTGCCTCACAGCACTGAGATTCCCCTGGAAGGGGACAGGTTCAAGATCGGATGGACTTCCAGCATCTGATGGAAGGCTCATCGCTTCAAGATCTGATGGAAGGCTCTCCATTGCTCTTGACTTGGCTTGCCTAGCAGCTTATCAGTGACCAGGGAAAGCACCTGGGCAATCATTTGCGCTATGTTTCCGAAGCTGAACCGCTCACATTATTCACGAGACTGACCTTCAACTGTGAGGGCCTTCATGACTGCAGTAAGCAGCAATTCACAACATAGCAAGGGCGCCAATAAACTGTCTTGAGACAATTTTGCTTGCAACACCGGTGAAGTCACAAACCAGATTAGGCTCCTGGCCTTTTAGAATGAAGCCAACCGGCTGGTGCACATAACATATCTATGACCTGAAATGGAGCAGCTCACATTCTCCGACATCTCTGCATTCAACACACTGTGCACAAGCAAATGTCAAGGGTCTTTTAAACATGTGGTGGTACTCTTCCAGCACCATTGGAGAAAATTACTTTGGGACGGAAGAGTACCATGCAAACATCAAACATTGGTACTCGTCCAGCGCCATTGTTGGGGGAAGTTGGTTTGGTACTCTTCCAGCACCGTGGTTGGGGGAAGTGTATTTGGTACTCTTCCAGCACCGTTGTTGGGGGAAGTGTATTTGGTACTCTTCCAGCACCAATACTAAAGGCTGCAAGCAACGTCAAGGATTTGATTGAGGCCCATGGCGAGACAAGGCCCGCAGCAATACCTGGAGCAAAGAATTGAACAAACACTGACACAAACAAAGAATACTCACTGTCCAAAAATACTGAGAGTCACTGTATCCACCAAATCCTGAGTGTCATGAACATGAAGCCCAGCCCAAACGTAGAAGCCTGCAAAACACAAGAGGCACTCTTCCAGCGCCGCCGATACTTTGTCAGCAGTGTTGTTCCAAATCCATCCAGTGTTAAATCCATCCAGAATCCACTCTTCCAGTGTTGATTGAGCATCATGGGCTCTTTGTTCACGCCCAGTCAAGCTTCTGGGTATTCTTTCAGCCCCGAATATTTCAGCGCCAGCTGAAATAATGCAAATAGGTTTGAATGCGCATGCTCATACTGTCATACTGTTTAAATACATACATACCCACATATAGATACACGTGTCCAGTTTTAGTTTTGTACTGTGAACAAGTACAAAAATGTGACCTGAAACACTGCAAGGAAGACGTTCAAATTGATTGCAGATGGCACTCTTCCAGTGGCAGCTAAAACCAGCCTGATGGCACTCTTTCAAAGCCGTTATTGAGATTGATTGCATTCTTTCATCAGTGATGGCACTAGTCGGCAAATGACTTCCAGTTGCGTGTAAGCTTCTGCATGTTACTCCAAACAGTTGAAAAAACAGTTGAATCTGTTGTGGCACTTTCAATCCCATTCCCAGGTGATTTTTGAAACATGAATTAGGTTGCCTTTCTGAAGGGTTATTGAATTGATGGCAATCTTTCATGGTCAATCTGATGGCAAGTTGAGTTTGATGACATTCTTCCAGAGCCAATAGAATTTGATGGCACTCTTTCAGCACCGAATTGAACCTGATGGTGGCACTCTTCCAGCACCTTGAATCCAGTGGACAAACTCAATTTGTTTGTTGACAAATGTTTAACCCCTATACACGACACACCCTACTGTACATACATGTTGTGAACATTGCGTTGATATGTGTTTTTGTTCTGCATGTTGATGGTCAGTAACTCTGATGTGACAGTGCCAAAGTAGTGGCAAATTTCATTTTCACAGCAGAAACCTGCAAACATAAACACACTTTCCAACATATTGGACATCAACATCATTTTAAAACAACATCAAAAGACCAAACTACACCAGGCAAAAAGCAACATTAGCCAGGCAGACCTGGCCGCCAGACAACTTCTGGCTGATCGCCTACGACGCGGAGCGATCAAATACACTTGGGACCCTGAGCACGTGGCCGCCAAGAAGAAAACGGTGGAGAACAGATGGAGCAGTCAACACGAGTTCACAAACACCAAAACACGCAACAAACCACACCAACCCAACACACAAGATCCACAACAACCAACAATGGATGGAACACCGTCCGTGGACACAGGACTCGACACTGAGGCCCGGCACGAGGGACTCGATGAGTTTGCCGCTTCACCCGTGCCCAGTTGGAAGAACTTCGAGCTCTGCGCGACCAGCGAGTTGTGCTGCCTCTGACTCCAGAGGAGGAGGCCGAAAGGCGCATCGCCATGGAATCCGAAGCCCGATCCGCTTTGACGGACGCAAAAGCGATCCTCGACCGAGCCCTACGAGAAGTGACAGAACATGCCCGCATCTGCCCGATCCGGGATGAGATTTTTATAGCCCCAAGAGGGCGAGCGTGGCACCTCAGGCCAGATTGCAGGATTCTGGTCAACCAAGCCTCGGACGAGAGAGTCTACCAGTGGTGCACGACTTGTGCATCGATGGAGATCACGCCAAACAGACTACACCCGAACACCCAGAGGACTTTGGCGGACGACATCCAGATGTTTCTCACCCATCATGGAAATGTTTTGTACGAAGCTCGTACACGCAACGAGCTTTTTCTCCTGCCATGGATGCATGGCTGGCAGGGACCCTGGCCTGCAACGATGCGACAGGCTGGGTTGGCGCCGGAAGGATAAGGCTGATGAACGGCCTAGTTCTCTTTTTTGAAATTTTCCCCTTCCTGACCGATGCATTCGGTCAGGGCCGTTCGAGTCAGACTTGCTCGCTCGTCTTGGGCTCGCATGGCGGTGCTTCGGCTGCTTCGCTGTACACAAAAGGAAGCACGTTGACACTGCTCAAGCCTGTGCTGCTCAGCATGTGGAGTTTCTTCCTTTGGTGGCAGAAACCACAGGCGCTTGGGCGCCGGAAACAATCAAGGCTCTTGACCATATCAGCCGTGCGGCTGGTCCTGCGTCTGGGAGCACTTTGCTCCAAGAGGCTTGTGTACTGATCCGCAGCCGCCCTTCGCCGAGCCTTCTGAGAGCCCTGTTTAGCTTTCTGGAGCGCAGTGACCCGGCCTTTCTGACCACTCTGCTTTTGCTCCCTTTCTATCTTTTGGTGGGCCTGTCCAGTGTTGCTTATGCCTCGCTGTGTCCGCCCCATTTCCTTTTCCTTGGTCTGTTTTTTCCACCTGGACATGATTGGCTTGGGACTGCCTCTGGCATGTCAGACGTCGTCCACACGTGTCTGTGGAGTATTGTCCCCAAGGGACCACCCATCTCGATGATTTACCGGACAGGAGTCTTTTGTTGTTTTTTGGCCCTAGCATGGAGTGCAGGGCCATGTGCCGCTTTTCTCAGCAACTCACTTCTTCCGCGCTTCAACAAGCGAAAAAAATATCATATAGGTACGTTAGAAGAACCTAGACAGCAACAAAAACACAACACTGTTACAAAAGATAACTCCCACGTCACAACCCAGCTTAGCACCATAGCTAGCGGCACCACGAAGAAATCACCCAAAAAAGACATGGCAGGAGTGCAGCTGGGGGAAATACATACAGTAGTTCCTCCATGCGCCTTCACTATTTATATAGACATGATTAACCAGAAAGCATGAACTTGGCAAGTGAAAGCATTGATTTCATGTCAGACACCAACGAGTCTCGTCGTGAGCCTGGTGTTTTTTGTTTGTTCCCCATTGCTAGCTGTGTTTCATGTGTATAAACACGTGCCTTGTATAGCATATGTTTGTTGCGTGCCAGAACGAAGATCATCGGTGGCGACGCTCGGCGGGAGAGTGCAACTCTGACCATTGACATCCATTAACCGACAAAGAACATCGGTCGGTGAATCGAACAGCCGAGGATGACCATCCATCCCGACTTGAGCCTGATGAATGCTGAGCAGCTAAGGTGCAGGATCTTGGAAGTGTTGCAAGCATAATTAGATTTGCAACTTCTTGAAGCACACATCGTCACATCGATCCTGTAGTTTCTGCACGTCATCAAATTGAGATGGATGCTCAATCAGCAGAAAGCGACTATGATGGCCAATGATGCTAAATGTTGAACATTCATGATTCATGGATATTCATGATAATTATTCGATATGACAGGCACAGCTCAGCGCTCCTTTTGTTACAGCAAACCAACTTCGCAGTTTTACTCTGAAGAATCTGGTGAATCGGCGCCATGGGTGGATTTGTCGGCAAGACTATCAGATGTTGTGGGAGTTGGGGCCTCCCAGCATGCTCCAGGTTCTGGAGGTCATTAAGCTGTACAGGCCATGCATCGGCCATGCGGTGTCAGGTTGAAACACATTCCGTGAAACCAAGACGGAATCACAAATGGCGTACAGTAAGGCCGCGAGTATCAGGAGGAGGACCGGTGGGGCACCAAAGGCTGCGCCAGAAGAATCAAGTGGAGCTTTGGAAGGATTGTTTGGTTTTGTTTCTAGGGAATAAGTAAGACATGAGACGTACATAGTTGCCGTCTTGATGTATTTGTCTATGGCATTTTGTTCGGTTGTAGGAGTACGAGAAGCCCCGCGGTGTGGATACAACAGTGCCGCGGCAGCGTTGGGCCATGTCACTGCTGGCCAACCCCAACCTGCTTGAGCAGGCCGATCACGGCTGTTTGATGCTGCTCAGCGTTGAAAACAACACCAATCTTTGGGGGGTTCGTTGTGAAACTCAAGACTCCCCTGAAAAGGTGCATAGTTATACTGCAAGAAATGGTTTGTGCACCCATGATGATTATGAAAGTTGCATTTGACATTTCTTTGGGCATTGAATGCTCTTTGTGAAAGCTTTTGGTGACCAGTATGCAGTATGATTCAGTATGATCCACACGGTCCACACGTGTCAATAGTTGTTGCAGCTGCATGTATTGAAGACATTGCCGTTGGAATTGCCAACCTCAAATGCTCCAAGCTGTGAAGTTGCAGGTGTGCAGGAAAGAATTCCGGCAGTATCAGAAAAAATGGTGAAGTAGATAGGCTCAGGCCCTAGCTTCAGGGTAGAGCGACCATGTGCTGAGTCATGTGGAGCTTCAATCAGCCGCAGCAAGTAAGCGTGTTCAACCACAATTCAGGTTTAAAATGGTTTAAAGACAAGCCGCCTTTATAAGTATGTTCATTGATGATTTGCCCAGGCAAGATCTCAAGAACGCAGTCGGTGCTGTTTGCGAGCAGACCCAAGTGGGGTGCTGCTGATCTGCTTGTTATGGAGGTTTCCAGCTTGAGGGAATGAGGTGATTGTGCCAACTTGCCAGGCACTGCTCAGAAAAGCTGCTTGTGATGGCAATGGCAGAGATGGGCAAGGCCAGCGACGTCAGACGCCAAGAGAAGGATTCTAAATTGTTTCGAGCAGTCAACATGGCCAGGACTCCAGATTTATGGAAGATGATTTTTACAGGCAGGGTCCTCCTTGCAGTCACAAACAGAGGCCAGCAAAGCAAAAGAACATCAGGAAATCGGCAACCTTCCTTTCTTGGAATGCTTTAAAATAAGGAATGCAGCACCTCAAATCTAGCAATATGTTCAAGTCTCTTTATAACTTTTCAAGCTGAACCTTCTATGGCTGTCTATGCACCATTCATTTTTGTGCAGCATTTGAGCTACGGCCTGCCAGGTTGTTTTCAATCTATTTGAGGAATCTCTCGGCTGGTCAGCCACAGGAGTTGGATATGTGTGTGAGAGAGAGTGTTTGTACACCTTGGACTCATAGGTTTCTTCCGAGTTGTGGAAGGGCGCAGAGGGACTATCCATGTACTGCCTGCGATGGTCCAACGAAGCACCAGTACATTATTGATATCACAGCTGATCACCGTGACATACTTACTTGCTCGAGTTTGTGGATGTTGATAGCTATGTCCCACTCTAGATTTCAGGTTGGTCTGCAGTTGCGCACTGTGGCATTCGTTGGAAGGTTTGGAACTTGAGTCTCGGACATGGAGTCCATTAGAGAGCTTTGAGTCTTTCTGAGCCTGAACATCAAAGGCTGCACAGCGCTGCATTGCTACCTGAATTCGATCCTAGGTACATTGCTTTATTTGGTGTGTCTGTCTGTGTGTGAGTGTGTCACACTCCGTTTCTAAGAGTTTCTACACTAAGTGGGGGGCTGGAGTGTGCTTCAGATGTCTCCAGCCAACGAAGACCCATCTGTTGCACTGTGATATGTAGTTCTGATGAGTTTTGCAGTGTTTGCGATGTATGAGTTCAAGGCTTTGGAGGTTTTGGAGGCTTTCCTGTTCAGACCGCTTTACATACGTACTCGTACCTCTTCACCCTGGCTTCCTAGGTTTTTTACTTCGGCTGGTGAATGGCAAACCGCAAGTCGTTTCCGTATATGCATTTCCCGTGTGTGTGTGTGTCGGGGTATATGCAGCATTGAACCCTCATGAAGCTCAGGATTTTGTGGAATACCGCGCCAAGCAATCGAAATAAAGAGTGTTGGGCTGTTACATCAGCCCACCTGTTACGTGAAACCATGCAGCCGCGCAACACCAGAGGCCTGCTATGCCACGCAACCTTCTTTGCAGCATGAACATTTTGAGCGCACATGTTTGCAGGATCATGATGCATCAAAGGTCGCGCAACTGAAGACTTGACCGAGGCTTTCAATAAATTGTACCGCTGCATTGTTTAGCAGTTAGTTTTGCGAAGAAAACACTATTTTTTGCAAGTTGATTTGCCCAGATTTTTTTCACGTTTGCTTTAATTTGAGTGTTCTCAATGCCACCAGGTCTGCAGCAATACGCCCTCATCAGCCTGAGTGCGCGTGACAGCCAAGCGCTTTCACGAAGACGCCAGTACCTTCTGCAGCCGAAACTCCACAAGAGGATAAGAGTCTGGCACGTGCACAAAGTCGAGCATAGTATTCGTGGCTAGCAATGCAAGAAGTGAAACAGCACAATGTAGACTGTAATAGGCTACTGTTTAGTTTAGTGACTATAGATGACTAATGTGAAGTCAGGATTAATAAACCCCCTCCAGTTAATCCGAGCCCACAAAGCCCCGCCGGGAAATTGTCCAAATTCATCCAAATTCAAAGTAGTATTGGTGGTTGATTTCCCCCCAATGGTCTAGTTTTCTACCAGAAATCACCACAGTTAACCCGAACCCACAACCAGGTCAATTTTTCGTTTTACTACTACTACTACTACTACTACTACTACCACTACCACTACCACTACCACTACTACTACTACTACTACGACTACTACTACTACTACTACTACGACTACTACTACGACTACCACTACCACTACCACTACCACTACGACTACCACTACGACTACGACTACTACTACTACTACTACTACTACTACGACTACGAGCACCACCACCTCCACGACCACGACCACGACCACTACCACTACGACGACGACTACTACCACTACCACTACCACTACCACTACCACTACCACTACCACTACCACTACCACTACCACTACCACTACCACTACCACTACCACTACCACTACCACTACCACTACTACTACTACTACTACTACTACTACTACTACTACGAAGACGACTACGACTACGACTACCACTACCTACTACCTACTACCTACTACCTACCACCGACGACGACTGCGACTACGATTGCTCCCTGAGCAGACTATTCAGGGGAGGTGGACCTCATGAATGGTACCTCAGACTTGCTCGACCTTCTAGACCTTCCACGTGGGGGGGGCTATTAATCCGGTCTTCGCATTACAAGACAATGTGAAGGTGGTGTGTTTGTAGTGGGTGAGGTGGGAGCAGTACACACACACACCACACACTGATAGGGGCTGAAATAGTTGCAGTTACCTTATGCGAATTGTGGTTGCGCGAGGTGAAGATTGGAGAAAAGTATAGAATATCAGATGCATCTCAACGAACATGCAGAAACATAACGACGTTTAAAGACGTTTAAGACAAACAACGTATATCCAGGAAGTTTAGAGATTGCTAGAGAAGAGCGAACCACAGGAGAGATTTGTTAGAGTTAGAGAAACAAGAAGAAGACAGACTGACATGGCGTGCTGAGGCGTGGTCATGTGGCCTTTGAAACAATGAAGCTCTACTTGGTTGTTTGTCCTTCTCCACATGACATCACAAATTACTGATTTGCAGTGGAATACCTGTACTAGAATCTGCCGGTATGATTTCTCAGTTCCTGATGTGCGGTGATGTTTGGTGTTTTGTCGAGGTTTCTTGTGATTCATGGGACTCTGTGGTGCTTTTGTATTTGTGGTAAATTGGAATGATCACGAAAGGTAGCCCTTTAGGGATACCTTGAGTTTGTCTTGCGAAGCAAGTGTCGGCTCTTCCGGGTCGAATAATTGATTGCTCAATTCAACCCCCCCCGCCCCTGGAATTGATTTTTCAATAGGCCCACCCCCCCCGCCCCCTTGGAATTGATTTCTCAATACAGCCCCCCCTCCCCCCCCACAAAATCAATTCCCCCGTCGGTACACGTCTTCGTGAGTGCCACCTGCGTTCGCGCCTCTCGCGTTCGCTTCTCTTCCCGCTCTCCTACCTTTCGTGTCTCCCTCCTCTCAAGTTTGTGATGATGTGGAAAGGAGCGGCGTAGTAGATTTTAAGGTGCAAATTTGTTCCTCAACGAAACTGTGAACTTAAGCCTAAGCAAGCCTAGCACGCCTAGCGCCAACTTGCCATTGTCATCGCAGGTCTGAGTGCAACCATCAGAGCTTCCCACTTTTGTGGCACTCTAAGTTGCTTTCGACCAAGTGACCGCGAATGCAAGTTGAGAATATCTTTCCTGAAACCTAGGAACAAGGGCATCGCTGCTAGGGGCTCCTGGCCGTACTACTAGGAGCAAGAAGCTATTAGGAACAAGAAGGCTCGGTGATATTCTCACAAATTGTACATTGTGCGCCCTCCGTCGTGCTGTTTCTGTTGCAACCGGCAATTTTGTGCACAGCCTTGCTCTTCTGCTTGTATGCGGGGTCATGTGGCTGCTCCAGTATAGGGGGCCGTACTGAGTGGATAAAATTGGTGAGGTCAGTGCCTGGACTATATCTGTGCGCCAGCCTGCCAGCAACCTATCCAGGGGGTCTATCTCTCAAAAAAATCCACCCAAGTAAGGAGTGGATACTGTAATTTTTTTGGGGGTGATATTTCAGGGTCAGTGCATTTTAAAAAAATCCAGAATTATATAACGTATTACACTTTCTAGAACTTTATCCACTCGGTAGTAGGAGTAGAAAAGAAAAGAAAAGATAGAAAAGAGATAGGTTAGAGAGAAGAATGAAAGAAACCAGATTGAACAGCAAAGAAAATCAAGAAAACCTTGAGACTGGAATTGGTGGTTGAATTGAATTGCTTCAACAATTCACGTCTTTGCACTGGCCACCTGAAATGTGGAGAGAAAAAACAGTTTCCTGCTGGCGCTGATCCACCTTCCCGGGCTTCGCAGCAGCTGTCCCCATGAACATCTCTTTGGAAAATTGGATCTTGAGCTTTTTGTACAAGTCTTCGACCTGCAGGCAAAATATGGAACGCAGCAGAAAAATACAGAACCTGCCCGAAAACAAACCAACCTTCTAAGGTTTGCAAACGTCTGCAACAATCCTTAGTTTTCTTAGACGTCAGACCACCACAGAGCATACAGAGCGTTGGAAAAAAAACTTGAGGCTGGGATCGTTTCGTTTTACCTCGTTCGTCGACCAGAATCTACTTTTGAGGAGCCGCTTCGTCGATCCTATTCGTCTAGCTTGCTAACCTCAGGCCTTCCAAAAATTATCTATCATATCTGCATTGGTCAGGGATTCTTTTTTTGGTGGCCTTATTTTGACCCTCTAGCCTTCAAATTTATCCACCTGTTTTGGCTGAGACAGGGTCAGTCCTGGGAGAATATCCTGTACTGACCCTGGGCTTCATACCTCCAGTGTAACTCGGATCTTTTTATTCCTAGCTTTCTTTCGTTGAACAGCTTGCGACAACAAAATGGACGAGTTCTTGCATGAGGCGTGAGTGCTGGTTGTAAAGAAGGGAGGGGCAGGCTTTAATGATGGAAGGAACCATGGAAACGGAACATACCTTTATGAGGTATCCGAGGACAATGCTGCGCCTGCCACCGGAAAAACAATTATATATATAACTAAATCAACACGTTTTGAATGTGTTAAAGTACTTATAATTATAGTATTCTTGGTATGTTTCACCACTTGTTCCAGTGGTATGAAGCATGTAGACACAACACCAGCACGACCCCACAACGGTGGATGCTAAGGGCCACCAGGCTTTTGCCGTTTGACATAAGACTTGGATGCTAAGATCAGCGCTCCGAGAATCGCCGAGGTTCACAAGCGCTGCTCCTGAAACAACATTTGCATCTCCAGCCATCCCAGCACCGAAGTTCAAAAACATTCCCAACATGTCCTGCCCAAAAAACATAATAAATCCGGGCCCATTTGGCTTGAAGCCAAGAATGGTCCTCACACAGTCAGTTCAAATGAGTTCAATTTCCAATCAGAAGGCTTGACCATCGAAGAACATTTTGCGTCTATCGTTTCCAGCAAGTTTCACCCAAGTGAGCGCGACTTCGCGGCGCTGGGCAAAGCCTGAGCAACTAACGCATCTCTTTGAGCTCTCCGAGCGATCTTCCGTCCAGCCGGGACTGCATTGTCTTCGATAGGCTAGGGCCTCACAGGCCCAAGAGTGCGTGACGCAACGGCGAAAAGTTTCAGCTGTCTCCACTTCAATCTGGAAGCCTTGAATTTATATACATGAATGTGCTATTTCCAATGCTTGAACGGCATTTGGATTTGAATGAACAAAGGGTAGGACTTGCACAAATGCCATGTACCCATCCCATTGATCATGTAGACTGGAAGTGAAATGAAATGATGACGCTTTCAGCTGCCACTGGTCTGCCACGTGCTTTCTCTTGATTAACAGATTAACAATTTCTTGAGTGCTAGCCATTCAAGACTTGCTTTCTGTTCCGATCATCCACTGAGTTGGTGTTCTTGGCACAGCTCGCTGCTTTTTCATGTAAAGCATGTAGGGAGTGAGGCCAGAGTTGAAGTTTCGAGAGCGTGGCAAGGCACGTGCGGGATCTGACCATTTCCCGAGAAGGTGTTTGTTCCTGAGAGGCTTTTTGAGTCGTGTTTGGGTTTGCTTACAGACTGTGCCATTCCAGTGTTGTTGTTGTGATATGCTTGTGAGAGTATGCTAGCTGCTAAATCAACAGCATGGGCAAGTATCATTGTATTCCTCTTTGTGGTCACGAACCTTGCGTGCCTCTGAGGTTGGTACCATCACCTTCGAGGGCGAGACAGATTGCACGGGCTTGGACTTTGAGGAGCTATAAATCTGCATCGATTTGCATTCCTTGAATCCACTTATTCAGTCTACTTTCACTTGTGTGCCCCGCAAATTGGATCATGGACCAGTATTCTTCATTTGGAGTGGGTTATATAGAAGCCATTTTCGCCAGAACATCGTCCGATTAGAGGTCGGAGAGGTGCGAGTGCCACTATGATTGGCAAATTTGCAGCTGTCATTTTGCTTTGTTTTGTGTGGCGATCGCTTATTGGCTTTATATATTAGATTTTTTGAGTGTGGATGGAAGTCAGCTCACAGAGTTTAAGACTGGTCAAGAGCTGTTGGTTGGCCTTTGCAAAGCCAACATCCCTTTTTCCACCTGCGAGTTCCAGGTCCTCGTCTATCCGCACCCACGGACAAAGCCTGATGTGGGCATTGGCCTAAACAAGGCTGAGAAAACGTAACGCACTGGACAGTGGACCAACTTATCCCAGATTCCTCTTGTGGTTTTGAAGCGGCTTTGCCTTCTTTCGCTAGGCAGCCACAGCCCGGCTCCTGGAGAGCGTAAGTCGCAAGTATGTTGGGATGTCGGGAAATCGCCGGTCGGTAGGCAGAAGAGTCAAAGTTGATTAACTTTGTTACGGGGGCGAAATGGAAACAGCTGGTGCACTCACTTGCACCCCAAATCACGACCTGAAGGAAGATGCAAGAACAAACAAGTGAGTGGTTGTGTGTATGCGGCACTACAAGAGAGCAATAGAGGCAATTGATAATAGAGTTTGGAATGGAAGATGAAACAATTTTGAACTCTCAAATTGTATTCTTGCTACTCTTGCTATTTGCTTGCTATTCTTGCAACAATTATTCTATACTCGGAATTAAGACTTAAGAAGGCTCATAACTCATAACCTAAAGACTTGCTAGCTTACTTCTTACTACTTGTCACTTATGGCCTTCCCCGACAGAAAAGCAAGGTTTGGGGAAATACTTGCATTCTTGTTTAGTTGCTGTAAGAAAAGCCGGTGTGAGTGCTTGGAACTAGACATCACGTTTAAGAATGCGCAGAAGGCCCTCTTGGTTGTTGAGAGAAAGTTCTCGCCAGTGTGTATGTGTGTGTGTGTGACAGCTGCACTGCAGTTGCGCAGTCTGCCCGCCAAAGATAGACCGATGCGGGCAACACAAAGAAATGACGAATGTTCTTCAGGTCACCATGTACCAGTGTTGGCCTCCGAATGGCAGCGTCTTGGCCCAGGACAGCGTTGTCTTTTGAGCTCTCGTCACCGTCAGATTGCAATTGTGGCTACAAACCTGCAACATGAATGAGAACATGGTTTTCAAGTGTGCACGGATGTCCTTGGGCTTCATGTTGTTTTCAATCGCACTCTCAACAGCTGGGATTCATCCCAGGATAAAGAGCAGCAAGAGGAGTACAAAAGACGTATCAAAGTCATGACGGAGGAGAAGAAAGCAAGGCTGCTGAAGAGTGTCGGTCAACCACCCATGAGACTTTCAGGAATTGTTTGAACTAGCGTTCATGTTTGACAAAGCCAAGACAAGAGGGACATATATAGGTCATCAGGTCCGGCTTGAATCACGAGGTGCTTCCATTCAGAAAACTGGCATTCTGTCACAAGAGCTTGTTTGTGCCAGGTTCATTGATTACGACTGCAACACAGGTGTTTGGAAGTTTGCTGTGGAGCACTTCTGAGTGCTGCGGCCTTTGCCTAGATCAAAACCGCCACGCTGAATGACTCCAATCAGCATTCAAAGGTTGAACGGCATGAAATTGAACAACCCAAACGCCCCAGCCATTATGAAGGACACAACTATATAAAAGACCATTTGGACGGACGTCATCCGCAGATCCACATCCTAGCAGCTCATCGCACCAGATCGCATCAGCAGATTGTCAGTGTTTTGTGCCCAAATTTTGGATTGTAAGGACGGCATTTATAATAAGGCTATCCATGGCCAAGAGATGACAGGTTTCTTTGCTTTGGAGTCGCTGCGTACCATAGGCCATCGCCACCCAAGCAGCATGTCAACGCGATTCAACCAAATAAGCTGTCCGTCATGAACTTCACGTTTCTTGATTTCCTCTTAGTAGGAATTGGCTGATTTGCTGAACTGCTTGAGATAGTGGCAGTCTCAAATTTGCTGACTGGACTGTGCCATTGATGGTGGCCATGGAAATGGCAGCGCAAAGATGCGCAAAGTCTTCTTGTGACATCAGCTTTATACATTGTATATCGTTGTACTGTTCGGTCAACAAGGTCGCATCCTAAGCAACTGACAAAGGTTTGCAATTTCCATGGCCTGTGGCACGTGTTGGAGTGAAGCATGGCGACAAGCGTGACGTGTTTGACGATGCCAATGAACGGCGAGGGGTTTGGAGAGGTGGAGCACAAAAAGACCGCATATTGCAGCAACGGACACAGGCTTAAAACACATTATGGGAGAAGATATTCTCAGTTGCCTGGCAAATATCCACAATATTCCCAAAACGCAGGAGAACGCAAGCACTTCGAACACCCGATGTTCTAAGTGGGTGTCCGCTTGCAATCCAAAACAATATTCTACCATATTCTACAGCAGCAGCAGCAGCATCATCGTCATCATCATCATCATCATCGTCGTCATCATCATCATCATCATTTTCTTTCTTTTCTTTCTCTACGCTCACCGTGCGGCGATGGCGTGGACCCTTAGCCTTTTTGGCTAGTCTGCCAGCCCCGAGGGGCCTTCAACCAAAATGAGATCCTATCAGTAGGGCCAGAGTTGAATCCTGAGCCCTCTGCTTTTGCGTGGATCTCAAAAGCAAATGCAGGCAGATGAACTGCCTAAGGCAGGGACATGTGTGGCTGTCCTGCTCAGACTCTCGAAGCTTCTGGTAGGGCTGGCATGCACACCATCGGGTAGCCGGGGCGGCTTCCCAGAAGCTCTCAGCACACGATGCTTCCATTGGCTCTGCAGCAAGGCATAGGTCTCGGTGGTGTACTGCTAGATGTCCATTCATGTCCGCTGGCCACGTTTGGCAGCAGAGACATTTCTTGACCAGCCGGTGGCAGAGCTCTGGGTGGTCCACAAGGATCTTGATGTCAAGCAGGTCCAGAGCTTGCGTCCAGCCAGCAAACCAAGCATCAGCCGTGTTGGGATCCTTCAGCACATTCTGGATCTGAGTTTCCCTAGTCAAAACAGGAGCCTCATCAGCTGGGAAGGAGACAATCTCGGCCCCACCATGAGGCGAGCAGTTCAACCACAGCATGCATACGTTCTCAAGCACCACCGCAGGAAGCTCCAGGAAGGGCTGGGGCTCATCCGAGTCGTTGTAGACCCACCAGAACTCTTCATCCCTGAGAGCTGAGGCGTAGTGTCCTGAGGATGAGTCCTGACCTAAGTGAGAAGCCAAGGCACAGACCTCATACGGCACGTTGTCCAGCTCCAGACTGTTGCCAATGAAGTGAGGAATCCATACCTTGGAACTCCAGTGAACTCGAGCGCAGCATTTCTTTCCAAAGGAGTCGAATCGATCCAGTTGTACGCAGGTGAGGTCTGCAGGACGGAGTCGGTAAATTGCAGCTTGAGTGTCCGGTTGTGATCAGCAGCTTGAGAATGGATCCTGGACCCGCGCTCAAAAAAACGTAGAAGTCCGTCTCCATGGCCAGACACTGAAGACTGTCTTCGTGTCTGAGAACGAGTTTGGACAGGGTCTGTAGCAGCATCTTTGAATCTGGTGTGGACTCTTCCTTGATGTTCTGCGTCTTCCCCTGCCCTTTTCTTCCTTTTCCTTTGCCCTGGCCCTTCCCGCCATTCGACGTGGTGGACCGTTGCCGTTTGGTTCTGGTCTTTTCCTCCTCGTCCACCTCCATCTTCATCCAGGTGTCCAGGGCCCCCCACATCTCCGAGACCTGACCGCTGCTGTCCATGACCATGGTGCAGGATTGCTAGAAGGGCAGCAATTTGCAAAAGCGCTGGACACTGAGCTGCGGCGGGATGGGGTTCACAAATTGAACATGATGGTTGCCGCTGCTGAAATGAGGTTAGGTACTTTTGAAAAAGGCTGCCACGATTGCAATGTTTTGCATGAGAGTTCCAGAGATGTTGCAAAAGGTCCCTTGGATCAATCTGACGGCCACAGACTGCACCATAAGCTAAGTGCTGTGCCGAGTTCTTTAGCATCTCGAAGTTGCCGCGGGTGAGGTTGGTGTCCAGTTCAGGAAAGTTCAGCTCCAGGGTGGGGCTGAGAACCTGCAAATCCAACTTGAGAGCATGTGCAAGCACTGTGCCAGCAGAAGCTGCCCTGAACTTGGTGAGGTCGTAGCGGACGAAGAGTGCAAGCTGAGAAAAGATCGTGCAAACATGAGGTTGAGCCGGTGGTCGTAGACAGGTGCAACCCACATTCCGTAGAGCACTGGAGGTTTGAAGCCATTCAGCATAGGATGTGATCGAGTCCCACTGTCGACCGTGGGTTGTGCTGATATGCCGGAGGAGCGTTGTTGAGCTGGTGGATTGATGACCACAAAGACCACAGATGTGTCCCAGTCTCCGGAGGAGGGATTTGTATCCAGTCAAGTGATCAAAAGTGCCACCTGAGAGGATGATGCCAAAGCAAGGGAGGATCATCTGGTAGCGGAGCTTGACAGTGTCCTCCATCAATGTGATGCTTCAGCGCCGCAAGACATAGAAATTCATGGTCACAGTGAGCGCATTGATTGCGGCCAGGAACTTGATCGCGATTTGCTTGAAAGGTCCTGGCAGTGGTAGTGTGAGGGTGCTCAAGTGATTGATGTTGATGAAGTCCTGCCATGGTCACAAATTTGCGAGGGCAAGAGTCACAAGAGAACTGAGCTTCCATGCGCTGCGGTGGTTGTGGAGCAGGAGGAGGGCTGTCAGGACAATCCGCTCTGCGCCGACGATCTGCCAGCGCTAACCCAAGTTGTTTCTTGACAGGACACGTGTGTGTTCTGGATTTGAACTCTTGTCCACAGAGTTGACATGGCGATGGCATCCTGGCTCTTGTCACATTTGGAAGTACTTCACTCATCAGACTGTATGCGTCAGGATGATCACGTCCCATATGGGCAGACATCTGCTGAAGACGGGCAGACCAGAAGCCACAAAGAATGCATCGTTGTGAAAGGAAGTAGCAAAGTTCTCAATCTTGTCGAAGAGGTCGAAGGTCTCCCTGGTCATGGTAGGCCAGGAGTTGGCGTCGATGTGCTTGAAGCTGTTCCGGAGGTGCCTTGGATGAGTCAAAGCTTGGGCAGGCAAAGTGCTTAATGTGGTGCAAGAAATGAACGTTTCACCGCAATGACGGCACACAGGTCTGCCATTGACTGCATCTCTAGTGCAGTTCATGTCGTCGAAGCGTATACGGGTGTCTGAAAGTGAGACCACATTTCGGGCAGTCAAGTCCAGCCTCTGCAAGCGGGAGTGAAAGAGCAAGATCATGATCATCCAGGTCGTGCAGCCAGATTTGAGTGAGATGAAGAGAAGCCTGCAGCCTGGTAATATCAATGTATTGAACAATGTCATTGGTTGCAAGCTTGTCAAGTCTGGCCTCGCGCCGGGATAATTGTGCTGCCGTGCGGTCGCGCAGTAAGACAACCGGGTGTTTAAGATTGTTCCCAGTGAGGAAGTCTGCATTCTTTGTATGTGTGAGAAACGAGTATTCTTTCGTCGCCTGACGAAGTTGTGGAAGAAGAGCTTTCGAAAACAAAGGAAGGGTTGCAAGATCAACTCCAACTGAGTCCAATCCACAGAGTGCTATTGGAAGGACACACGTTTCCCACAAGGACAGCTTCTGAGCCACATGCAGAGATGCATTGCAAAACCATGTCTTCATCTGTCGATGTCTGTGTGCGCATGCTTTCAACCTCTTCTGCATAGTTCCCTGTAACACTTGCTTGTAGCCAATCGAAATGCCAAGGTAATCTTGGTGCTCTCTCAGAGGGATCTCATAGTGAAGTGTGTGCCTTTTTGGAATCTTGAGATAGGTCTCATGTTGAGACTGTGTCACGTAGGCCTTGGTGGCCTGTGGGCGAAAAGAGCCGCGCCATTGTATGATTGCAGCTGATTTGGACATGTTCACTGTCATACCCAGTCTTTCCAAAATGTCGATGAGTCTTCCAAAGTTATAATCTAAAACCTCTGTGAAGTTCTTCCATGTTGTGAAAAACAAAGCAAGCATGACCATCATCAGCATAAAATGTGCAGTTGTTCCGCATCCAGTGAACATCAGTCTCGTTTGCCATGTGCTCAAGGACCAATGCAATGAAGCAGGCCCAAAAAAGGGGGCACCTCGACAGCCTTGTCGAATGCGTCGAAAAGTGGCTTGTTCCGCTTCGAGTCCTTTCCACTGAACAATGTAGGCTGTTTCTGTGTGCCAAGTAAGAAGCAGCAAAACAAGATCTTCCGGTAGGTTCAACAAGCGGAAGGCTTCCCACAAGTGTTCTCGAGGCATGGCATCAAAGGCCCCTGTAAGGTCCAGAAAAAGCTGACAGCCTCCATACACCCGTACTTTGTTCCCTCTCACTGTGGAGTTGGCATCATATTTCCAGCGAGCTAGCAGTGTTTGAACCTCACGAACGTGTGCGGTCACTCTTGTGATTGCTTCCCAAGTGCCGCGTCCAGGGAGATAGGCAAACTGTGGATACCAAATCAAACCAGGAAGAGCATGAAGCTTGGCGAAGTGCGCAAACAAGGACATGACAGTTTTCGAAAGCGGAGTTTGTAGCGCAATAGGTCTCAAGGCTTTGGGCTCCGTTGGTGGTTTGTGAGGTTTGGGAAGTAAAACTACCCAGCCACGCCTCCATTCCAGTGGAATCAGACCATGAGAACGCCATTGAACAAAGCTTGGAGCAATGTGAGGTGGAACACCAGTTCGTGAGGAGAGGTCCTGGAGAGCTCTGGTCATGTCTTGGGCCTGAAAGGGCAGAGAGTCCAGCTGAAATGGTGGTAGTGAGAGGTCCGTGCCCTTGTAAATGTCTTTCATGTAAAGTGAAATCCAGTCCAGTTCTTCTTGTGGTGACATCAACAAACCCTGGTGTTGTCGAAGTTGAGGTCGTTGAACGTGTGTCTTGGGTGTGAGTTGATTCACCAGTTTTAAGTAATGGTGAGTCTTGTTCGAGGCCCAAAGACGTCGAGCTTCTGCGATAGTGTGATTCAGCTTCAATGTTTTGGCATCCTTGGCTTTCTGCTTGGTGGTGCGTGCGCCTCCATTTGTGGATGTGTGTTCCCCGTAGCCAAGCCACGAAGATCTGTTTAAGCCGGGAGGCATCCGGTGTGATCTCAGGGAGCTCTCTCCAACTGATTCTCTCCGAGGAGCAAAAGGAGCGGCGCACAATGGTGAGGACCCCACCAGACCAGGCTGTCGAACCACTATGTATATATGCAAAGCGGTCATCCATCCAGTCCCTGCTGAAACCCCATCTGGTGTCCTGCATCGTCAACGCAGCCAGTTGAAGAGGAATCGTCCAGGATTTCAGAATGTCCAGCCTGTAGTTACTCAGACCACCTATGTTCCAGGAAAAACCGCTGAATCTGTTGGCCTTGAGCTTGGAGCCGGAGTTGGGTTGAGCATTCAAATCCACCTTGTTAGTGTTCATTGGGGGAATCTCAATCTGGGTGGTCCCCAGCATGGAGGCACTATGGAGTCTTCCTTTATACCAGGTCATGCCGTGAAGCTGAGCCCTCTTGAGAGCACGAAGAAATGATTTCTTTTTGGACTTTGGTTGTACATCATGGCGGTCATGGGAGGGTCCAATGCCACTGAGCTTTGCCCCATATGATGTGGACAAAACTTTCAGTTGTTGGGCTCCACTGACACCCGTGGCGGCGTCAGAACCCTCGGGCCTCCAGGGAGTTGCATTGGGATTGAGCGTGCTCGTGAAGTTCATGCCAAGGAAGTAGACCACCCCAGCGAAGAGGAGCACAGAGCAGCAAGTTCGTTCCCTGGCCGGGAATTGGGACCCCGGTGAGTGTCCAGGCTCCTGCAAAGACCGTGGGATGGCCAGCGTGAATGCCAAGATCTAATACCCCTCCTGGAGGAGCAAAACAGGTAGGTCGTGTACAGGAGAAGGAGCCAGATGAGGTTGGCAATCACAAAGGTCACCACCGTGAAAAGGCCAGGAACTTGTAAAACAAGGTCGTGTCCAAAAAAGGACCTCCAGGATGAGGATCTTGAAAAAGTCGGGCGAAGAACCTGTACGGCAGGAGCTCGAAGATCAGGGCCATCAGGTAGTTCCTGTCCACAGAGCCTGAACACTCATGGCATCTCATGGCCCGTATCATCATCATCATCATCATCATCATCATCATCATCATGGGCACAAGCACTTGACGTGGCACCATCCAAAGCGCAAGGCCAAAAGATGTGGAGATGCAAGCGGCCTCGGAAAAACAAGTCATAAAATTTCTTGAAACAGAGCCACATATGGCACATTACCGATAATTAGAGCATGGCAGAGCATCATGAGACATCCAAAGACTGCTCAAAGACTGAACAACCTGCATCAGCCGAAGCTTGGCACAAACATGACCAGCAGTAGGAGAAACAACGCCACGCGCAAGGACCCTGGGCGGCACGCACATGTTCTTCCGCTTCGATAACCTTACAGCATTTCGTTGGCTGTTGGCACTTTTAAGGCACGTCTTCAAAGCGGCGCATTTTACAATGAACAGTTACTATGTTTTTGCGCGCTTACAGTGGGATTGTAAGATGAAAATTTGTCCTGTGGTCACAAAACACCGGGACATATTTCAACGAAAGGTGTTGGCCGCCAGACGTCCCAGCTCAAGCTTTCTTCATTGTACCATCGACAACGGCGTCTTCTAGTTACGACGTAGACTCGACATGACACGCAGATCATCCGTCTGCTAACAACAGAAGGCATTAGATACCAAGCGTTATGAGTTATGATCCAACTCCATCCCCAGTCCACACCACTCCAAAAACGTGACAGGTGTGGGACCGTGGGAAAATATACGCATGAATTCACATGAATTCGGAGGAGAGCGTTGTAGCTATCAGCAAAAAAACATCAAAAAACGGTAAAAAGAAAAAAAACATGGTCGTTCTAGGTGGCGTGAGCAAAACCAGACACCAACAACCAAGTTTCCAAAACAGAAGAACCAACTTGCAGACCCTACCAAAGCAAGCTGTTTCAAGACTTAGTGTTGAAGTCGTGTATTCACACTTATATAGTTGTTCGTACAAAACTCACCATGCTGAGTTCGTGTTCGTGGCTGGAAGTGCGACCGTGCGAGGTTCCGAGTGTGAGGTTTATATTTGCACCATGTGTCTCCATGTGCTACGTGCGGCACTTAAGAAGTGCCAAAGAGTTTCAGGACTTCCAAGACTCTTTATTCGCATGTTTCTGTGTGAACGTTCTAAGTGGGAGACTCACTCTCGATAGAAAGAAGTGGACTTGGGTTTGGAGATACTTAGAGTCCGATTTGGAAGCGCATGTACTGTAGATGTTGTCGCACATCACTTTTACGTGTACCCGTAGTTGATGAGTCAGAACGTGTTGTGTAGATCAGTAGCAAACCCGCAGCTTTAGCAGCAGTAGCAGCAGCACGGGTGTTGCATAGCTGGTATGGATTTCTGTTTCTCACCACAGATGTGCTGAACTAGGCAAGGTAGGAGCTGGAATAAGCAAGAGTTGTGATTCTTTCTTGGACTGTTAGCCGCCGGGGTGCCCGGATGAGCGCTTGTTGAATCGAATGGGTTCAATATTGTCATCCTCAAAGCTGCAGCTGTGTTGTTTTCTCTTTAAGGCCATGGTTTCAGAAGTCACTGCTGCAGGGGATGCAGCAGTGAAAGCTGTATTGGGTGAGGACTTCAGAGCAGACAAGTGACAAGAAAGCTGCACAAACTCCGCTGAAAACGATTCAGGAGCGCTTTGCAACGGTTCAGAACTCCAAGTTGCTGGTTGTGGGTGCTGGTGGGATTGGCTGCGAGCTTCTCAAGAACCTGGCATCAGGCTCAGATGTTTCTGCCAATCCTTCTGTGGATACTATGAGTTACTATGCATCCACCTGTGGGCGTGGCAAAGCAAGACTTAGTCAGTCTTGGCATCAAGTGCAAACTTTGCAGGGCATTATCGGAGTTGCCAACTCCCATCCATTCTCAGGTCCTGACAGGCTTTCGAAACATTGAAGCAGGGCGCCTTAGCGCAAGGCATTTGGATGCTATTGTTCCAACATCCGCTGCCTCCTCATGCCCTATGGCCCAGGTAGTTGATCTTGACACAATTGACGCTGATGCCTTAAAGGGCGAAGCAGAGAAGGATCGATCAGCATTTTGAGGGATGGCGCGAAAAGGTCCTAGTAGCCTTTTGCTTCTACTAGCAAACATTGCTCCTAGTAAGGCCAGGAGCCCCTAGTAGCGTTCTTGTTCCTAGTAGTGATGCCCTTTGCTACTAGTAGCTTCTTGTTCCTACCCATTGTCGTAATGACATTTCATTTCAAGTTGATGTCAATGTTCATCACGACAATCCACGCTACTACGAATGTAGTGGTTTTGACCTGCGCGTTGAGGTCTCGAATTTGAACAGGCAGTTCCTTTTCAGAAGGATCCATGTTGATCGACCCAAGTCTGACAGGGCCTTGGAGCTGAGCCATGTAAAGCAGTATGCGCTAGTGTGTGTGTGTGTGTGCATACATGGGAAATGTCGTTTGACGTGGCATGTCATGGAATCCAACTTGCCAACTGTAGAATGGAGAGTTTTGGAAGATCTTGGCGGTGACTCACAGTTTAGACATAATAAGACCTAAGCTTTCTCCAATGTTCACCCTTCGCCATCCACCCTATCCACGGGGTTAAAACCCAAGACACTCGGATACTCAGACTGTGATTGGGTTCAAGAATCCAAGAGGTCAATCATACAGCTCTTGGATTTGCATTTTTTTGATCATCCTGCATTGCAGATCAGTCTCGACGTCCTTTCCTCTTGTGCTTTGCATAAAGAGGCTGTTCCACAATCCATGTGTTGCTACAAGTGGACAAGAAGGCCTTCTGGTTCCATTGCAGGAGCCGATCAGTCTGGCCTAGGTGGTTGCAGCGGAAGCAGTCCGGCAGTTTCGCACATGTCTCAGTTCAGCAGATGCTGGGCCTTTCGCAAAAGAATAAAGAACCTTTGCTTGTTCACCAAAGTGACAATAAATTGTTTGGGCGGACCTGTCTCCTCTGAAGTCTCCAAAGACAAACCAAAGAAGGTTTTGCTTTCCAGAATCAGATTGCTTTCTCAGGCCCCGAAGCTGAGATCATCTCGCACCATGGGAATGTCAAGGACGAAGAGTATGTAAGCTCCTCTTGTACGATCGCACAAACGTTTGATAACTGCATTCTGCATGATGGCCTTTCAGCCAACTGCGTGCATGTTAGTTATACTGTTATACGATCTGTTCTCAACCGAAAACACAAGTACAGGTACACCCGACCTCGCCATCCACAAGTCCACGTTTGAATTCTGATGTCTTTGCTCTTCATATCCGAAGAAGGTTAGGGCTCAGATACGACAAGTCAATACTGCCAACGTAACAAAGTGCCCAACAAGCTGCATCCCAACAGACATATTTATATCAGTACACCCTCATCCCGGTCACTGGCAACGTCGCGGAAACGAAGGTAAATCCTTGCTACATGACCACGTCGTAAGGCCAATGGGCTGTGGCTGTGGAAAAGACGGCCATTTTGTGAAGATGAGGGCTCGCACGACAACGGGGTTCGGTTCTTCAGTTTCCAAGGGGTGATCATTGAGCCCTAGGCACGGGAGCGGGCCTGCAAAGTTGAAAATGTTTTCTCAAGGTGCTCACTACAGCTTAAAAGTTTTCTCAAGCTCAAGTGACATCAGCATGGCCGCACTGCCTTCGCTTCCAGAAACAAACTTGCCTTGCATTGGTTTGTATGAGAGAACTGTCTACTCCCCACCTTATCAACAAGCTCGTCGTCGTCTCCGTCCTCCTCCTCCTCACCATCATCATCACCATCACCATCATCATTTTGTCCGAACTGCATAGTCATCTGTGATTTTGTGGACACATGGCAGAGGCTCAGATGGCCAGAAAAGAAGGAACTCAGGAAAGTTGTGTTTTCGCTGTACGGAATTGGTGACTTTTTTAAAAACGTGTGTGTTTGGTTTTGGGCTGGCTGGAAGGTCGGCCTGATCACCCTGTCGTAATAATTAAGTTTTCAATATATGTTCAAGCATGAACGCGAATTACCCAACTACTGGATCGCTGACAAACAATTACAACATATTACAACATGTTTTGCAATTGCAACCTTGTAGAGCGTCTAACACAATGCTGAGAACTCATGTGCGCTTCACAAAATAGCTATATTTAAGGGCCCCGGGACAGGCGTAGCAATCCTCATGAGCATCATGAAGGGGTCACTGTCCGAAGTCTGGCTACTACTAGTACTACTACTACCACTCACGAAAAGATGCGCCTTGCATGTTGCAAGACCAAAAGCGTTTTATGGTACAACATGGGGTATTATCCTTATGTCCACCATGTAAGTTTCAACCAGGATATATAAGGACATCAATGCTCAAGAAGAAGGGTTGTTCATTGCTCGGTGACATCGTGTTCCCTAGACCTCCTGAACCCCTTCTCAGGATAGGTTTGGATTGAAGAACCATTCTCAGAAAGGATCATCCCAAAGACCATTCTCAGAATCTAATTCTGATCCAAAACGAGCCTTCCCCTGGTCGCACTTTCGCTGCCAAACACTGTCTCTGAATCCCTATTAAAATAAACCATTTTGATTCTAATCCAAATCCAAAACGAGCCTCCCCTGGTCGAGCCACCCCTGCTATAGTTTTCTTCCTAGCCCCGAACACCTGGTGCCGCCACGGCTTTTCCCAATCTAATTCTGGTCCAAAACGAGCGACCCCTGCTATAGTTTTCTTCCATTTTTCTCGCGCACCCTGGCCCCGAACACCTGCTGCCGCCACGGCTTTTCCCCATCTGATTCTAGTCCAAAACGAGCCTACCCCTAGAAGAAAAAAAGAAGTTTGTTTCCATTTGTCTCGCTCATCCACCTGGTCACGCCACGGCTTTTCCCAATCTAATTCTCGTCCAAAACGAGCCTCCCCTGGTTGCACTTTCACGACATCGTCAACCTTAATGTTCCCTTCAAGACTGTGTCCCTGGAATAGGACACCCCCGGCACCTCCATATTCCCTTACGCGCTCCCCCTTGCTTCAACCGGGGTCGGCGGATAATTGAGAGGTGGACTGTGGACTCAATTAGCAATTAGTTTTCTCAATTTAACGAATGTCTTCTCCGAGAATCTTTCGAAAAGTTCGGACACATTCAATTATAATTGTGAGATCCACCGTAGTGGACCTCAACAGGTGGCAGCTCCACAAGAGCAAATCAAAGCGGGCTTTTCAACACTCCATTCGGTCACGGTCGAACCTAACTTCGCCGGTGCAAAAAGGGGGATCCTTGAGGCAACGTCAGCGATCATTCGCTGCACGTTCACGAAGCACAAGAAAGGAACAGAACACAGAAATCACACACCCAAAATAGTTTTTGTTTGTGCTTCGTTCTGGACGTATCGACGCGTCTTGTACCAACACAAATTGACCCCAATCAAGAACCCTCGTCAACAAATTCGGACTAACCCCAATCTTAGTCAGAATATCCCCAACCATCTGGTAAGTCGCAACCCAACGCACACTCACATTTCGTTTCTGGACATCTTCTTTCACAATCAACATCTCAGTAGCACTTCGTTTGTCTCCTATGTTGTGATTGTGCGTGGCTCGAGTGTGATCAAATAGTAGCTTGTTGTCCACTCACGCATCATTGTCCTTGATCGTGTACTCATAGTTCAATGCTTCCAACCACATGCTTCTCAACCACCTGCTCTTTGCTATAGCTCTGGACAGAGCCATCATTTCTGCACCAAGAGTCGAAGGTGTCTTTCTGTCCTGCTTGAACGACTTCCACCGTAGGAGACTAAAATCTCCCCATGCGTTCTTCACCATTTTCTTGTCGATCGCGGCCACCATAAAACCTGCTTGTGAACATAGATCCGGGCTGTTTGCCCATGCTGAGTCTGACACTGCCAAGAACGCCACGTCCTTAGTTGAAATGTGCTTGATCTTGATGGTCAGCTCCGACAACTGATGAACCTGAGACACCAACCAAATCAATCAAATCCGCAACAACCGACTTTGTAACTCTCTGCTGCATCAACGAACACGCTGCGGCAAGATCAGGACGTGAACCACTCACTAGCCAGTTTATGGCTCCCAAGACAGCACGCATTTGCTGTTTCTCTTCATTGGTAGTTGGTTCATTCTTGTCCTTTTTCCTTTCACTTGACAGTTTCATTCCATGAACTTGCTGCGCATATTCTTTTTGAGATATCCAAATGTCACCGTTTTCCTTTTGCTCCAGTTTCTTTCCTAAGAAAGTACCTTCTTTCTGGAACCAATGCTTGAATGGATATCGCTTTCGCAGCTCAGCAACAATTGTTTGCTGAAATTCATCATTGCCACCCATGATCATGTCATCAACATGCAGTGCAACTGTTCCAATCAACTGTTGATTGTCAAAGGAAGTTTAGAATCAGAAGGAACTTCCGTGTTACGAACATTTACATCACTCATCATACACCACTCATCATACACCACTCATCACCACTCGTCAAACCACCACTCATCATACACCACTCATCAAACCACCACTCATCAAACCACCACTCATCAAACCACCACTCATCATACACCACTCATCAGATTTCGTGGCAGGTGCAATACAAAATGCGTTTTCGAGAGATAGCGGACGCACGAAATGCTGTATTTTTCAATAGAACCGGTGGCTTCGAACCTGGCAAGTCTAGCTCTGCGGAACGACTGTTGCGAGACGGTCTCGGGTCATGCTCGGTCGGCCGTCCATTGTGATTAGGTTTTCACTTGTCTCTTGAAGTGCAGATTTCGTGGCAGGCGCAGCACTTTGTGAACCTCCATGTGCAGATTTCGTGGCAGGCACAGCACTTTGTGAACCTCCATGTGCAGATGTCGTGGGAGGTGCAGCACTTTGTGAACCTCCAGGTGCAGATTTCGTGGCAGGCACAACACTTTGTGAACCTCCAGGTGCAGATTTCATGTCAGGCACAGCACTTTGTGAACCTCCATGCGCAGATTTCGTGGCAGGCGCAGCACTTTGTGAACCTCCAGGTGCAGATTTCGTGGCAGGCACAGCGCTTTGTGAACCTCCATGTGTAGATTTCGTGGCAGGCACAGCACTTTGTGAACCTCCATGTGCAGATTTCGTGGCAGGCACAGCA